ACTTCAAGAACTCAGTTGGACGATCAGAAGGAGTTGACAACATGAGCGTTATTGATACTGACTAGCCGCTTTTTCTTGATGTTTCCAGCCAAGCGCGGAAGGGGTTATGGGGACTCCATCCTGAAAGGCGGATCCCAGCAACAACACGTAAACTCTTCGTAATATCTTTCACACCGTTCTAATAAGTCATGCGTTGTCCACCCTGCAGTTTCCGCCATTCCGAAGAAGGCACATATAGGAAAACTCACCTCGGTCGTTGGTGTTTCCCATGCGTAACAGATGGCCGAGTCACCGCAGTTGATGCTGCTGGATGTTTTCCGCTGTACAACCCAATTCCCGTTTTCTGGTCACCTCGTTACGAATCCTTTGACGCCATCCTAAACCAGCAGCGCTTCTGAGGCATTGATGGTCAGAAACCTGAAGGCGCCTCACATCGTCTATCCGCGGAGGCCACATGTCGCAACCATAGAACAATACAGTCCTTACTGTAGCTTGGTACACGTGATTATTGGTACCCATTGGTATGCCGTTTTGACGCCACAAGTGACGCAGATTCTCAAACGTGCTTCTGGTTTTCGAGGTTCGTACACTGACTTCGGTCTGACACTTCCGTCAGAGCAACTACGACTACCGACGTATGTGACATTTTTCACAACCTCCAGTGATTCTCCTTGAACTGTAAGGGAGAAATTTTAAAGATTACGCTTTCCGAAGTATGACTTCAACGCTGAAGACGCTAGATGCATGCCGCAAGGTGGTATGATGGTGTTCAGTTCCTCAACAGAGCTTGTGCTGTGCCTTCGTCTTCAACAATAAGGGCGATGTCTGCGTACTCCAGGTCGACAGGGTTCTCACCCGCAACAATTTGAACATGGAGGTTTTGAATAATTTCCGCAGTTTGCATCAATGATGAATTTGAACTAGGATGGGGTGGGTGAACTTCCTTGTCGGATACCACTTTTTGTATGGAAGCTTTTGGGGAGTTCAATATGCACTCTCACACGGCCAGAAGTATGTGAATATGGGGACCATGTTATGTTTACTAACTTCTGGGGCATACCCTATTGAGCAAATGTGATTAACACTCATTCAGGCAATATGGATAGAAAATGACATCGATTAGCAGCCATGTTTTGCAGCGTCTCCAACCGGGCGTAGTGGGTACCACGCGGTCCCCATCCTGGTAGGTGAGCAGCAACGACAGCACCCGAACGTCTCGTAGTATCTCTCATATCCCTCTGCCAGGTCAAGGGTTGGTCACCTCTCTGGTTACGCCACTGTGAATTGGGCAAGGGAAACATCGCACCCCTCGGCAAACGATGGTTCAGCACACGCAACACATGTCCCATCCTACGTAGCTTCTGGTACTGGAAACACTGTTCAACGGAAGATCCTGTTGCACAACCGAAAACTCGCTTTCTAAATGCCTCGTTACGAATTCCCTGACGCCAACCTACACGAGCGAGACAATTGTGAGGTTGTGGAATACCTGAGGACGTCTCAGTTCTGCTGCTCGAACAGGCCAAGTCACACAACCATACAACAAAACAGTCCGCATTGTAGTTCTGATGCACACGTCCCGTGATGTTCAGGGATATACCGCCTTGACGCCATAGGTGTCTCAAATTAGCAAACGTGACCCGAGCCTTACAAATTCGTCAATTGGTCTCATCTGTCACTACAGTCAGAACTAACACAGCTTTCAAGATACGCAAACGCTCCGAAAATCTCTGTATTGTAAGTGGCGTGTTTAGTGACTGCATGTCCACGCACATGACTTACGTTATAGATGAAAAATACATACCAGAGAACAGCTGCGCTTTCTGCTCTTCGAAGACGAGAGCGATATTAACTGCATATTTCTGATCGACAAGGTTTTCGTCACAGGCTATTTGAACACCCGCGTTTTGAGGCTTTCCAGTGTTCGTCTCATGATTTCATCGATCGCGAAGTTAAATGGGAATGGAGAGAGTGGGCACCCCTGACGGACACCGCTTTCTGTACTGAAGCTTTTGCATACTCACGTCCGGAAGTCTGAGAATACAATGCCCACGAACTTCTGGGACATTCCTTGGTGGGTAAGTGTGTCAAGAAGGACAAACCGGCCAACCGAGTCGAATGCGTCCTGTAAATCTAGGAATACTAGAATCGTGGGTCGCTTATACGTATGGCCTTGTTCTAGCACCCGACGGAGTGTGAAGATTCGGTCAACGCAACCCCTACCAGGCCGGAATCCCGCTTGCTGCTCTCGAGTCAGTGTTTCATGGGCCACCTTAAGGCGACGAAGCACCAGTGACGCTAACAGTCTCCTTAAGACCGGGGTCAAGTTGACTCTTCCGTGGTTACCACACTCATTCGATCCCCTTTTTAAAAGTGGGCACTATCACCGACTCTCCCCAGTTGCCTGGAGAGTTTCTACACCACCACATATGAATTCATAGCCCCTAGCTTATCTGCAGCAGATAGACAATGCAAGCGCATCCTCTCACACAACGTAAACTTATATATGCGGAACGACGGCAGGATGCTGACCCTCCTTTCACACAGCGCCTTGACCTGAGGCACTTCAAAGCCACGCACGACTAACTGTGCAAGAAAAGTCTGGACTCGATATTTGTTTGGATTTAGCGACGAGAAACAGGCCAGATTCCAACACGCTCGGTCAAGACCCTCATTCAATAAAGCTGCGTCCAGCATCGTCCACTACGACCTGTCAAGCAAAGACCTCGATAAGTTTCTTTATTTTTTCTGTGGAATTCGATTGTACTACAGTGTCTCCGGTAGCCACTGATTTGGATTCGGAACTGGTTTCTTTGGTGGGCGCCACTTTATCAAGCGATTTCCGATGTTTCGGAGATTCATGCTGCAAAGGAGCAGTCTGTGATCGGTACACATCTGAAGTAGACGATTTCCGTTGTCCGTATCCACCCGAAGACGACCACGCGACCGGGCCTCAGCAGAGCTTAGCTTATCTACCTGGGTGTTCATATCTCCAGCAACCACATCTATGTCTGAGCTCTTAGCTTGTTTTAAAAAAGCACCTAGGTCGTCATAGAAACTGTCTTTGGCAAATTCATAGCTACAGTCCTTTGGGGCGTAAGCAGACGCAATAAATGATGTGGTGAACCTCACTTTCTTGGGATTCACATACTTTCCTTAAAGAATCGCGAAGAAGCGAGTATCAGCGGGTATCCAACCAAGTAGAGATGCTTTCACTCGGTCGCTCAATACAATTGCAGCGGAATCTGCCTCAACGGAGATACGCAGCCGGAATTCGGAGGCGAGCGAGGGGGCAGTGAATTCAGTTATAGTACTTGCGTCCTGTATCCTTGTTTCTGACAGAGCATACATCACTGTATAGGAAATCCAGCGTACAAGCAAGAGCCAGCTGTTGTCCCGCTTGCTTCAGTGGACGAACATAAGGCAGATAAGTAGACCGGCTTTCGGACTCCGAAGTTGGACACACGGAAGCTGCAGCTGAGTGTGATCGACGATGAACAATGCGGCCAGTCCTAGTGCTGGGATCTGTGGAAAGAGTATTCAAACTTGGATGGTGTATAGCAGAAGAGATAAAACTCAAAAGTGTAAGAAGGGGGCCAGCAGCAGTAGTATGCTCTCACGCACTCTGTTGCATGCAGCAACCCGGCTAGTGACTTCACACGACAGCCGATGCTGCATGAGATTAGTTTTATCTGTTAGTGTCATGGGTGCCCACACATAAACAGGAGGACGATTAAGGTCCCCAATGAAAGCCTTTGGCTGAAAAGCATGACCACAAGACACTGGTGTTTAGCGGGAAATGCAAGTGCATTACCATTTTTATAGAACAATAATAATGAGAAGAATAAGTGATCGTTCTGCTTAGCTGACGTGCCACTCGAAGGAAACATTAGGACTGTGATATTGCCAGGTTGCCGAAGCCTAGACCGTAGAAGTCAAGATACCAAGGCCGGACTCTAACTACGGACATTCTTGTCAGTAAATTCTCACTCGAACCGGTGAGCTAACTTGCCTCTTTGTTGAACAAGTCGCCACACATGTTCCAAACCCCAATCTCGAGGGCCAGGAGACTGTGTTTGTCAGACCTCTAACAAATGAATAACCCGGAATGATAGACTCTGTAAGTGTCTTATGGATACCATCCAGGATGACTCAGTGGGTCACACAAACCATCACATCACGATAAACTCCACTCTCTTTGTATCCGCCACTCATAGTTGTGTAAGTTTCGACTGTAGTGTGGCAGGTGAAGTCGATGCACGCATCTCAAAGGCTCATATTGCGCATGTTAATTTGAGGCATGAATGACAACAAAATGGTGCATCCCTGAATCCTAAGGGATGTGTGTCAGGTTAAAGTACGAGCTGCTCTGTTATATTGTTGTGAGACGTGGCCTCAAACAACAGAACTAACTTCTTCAGGTCTTTGATAACCGTTGCCTCAGAATCACAGCTTTTGAGCTGGTGCCAGCGAATCCGAAACGAGACAAGAAATGGGTTTCAGCTAGCTAGCCATTCTTTCGGCTTTAGCGCCCATTGGATGCCCGATTGCCGTGCCACCAGAAGGAAGGACAAAGGCTGGAACACTACCAGGTTGCCCAAGCCTAGACAGGAGAAGTCGAGAGGTGGAGGTCGGGTTCGAACCATGGACCTTTCGGTCAGTAAATTCGCGCTCTAACCACTGAGCCATCTCGTTCCCCCCAAGCTAGCTTCAGTGTTAGTGATACCGAGGGAGGTTAACGCCTAAAGCCTGAACCGTTAGCCTGCAGATTCGCACCTAATCCTGTTTCGTCTGTTGCTCTGCCTCAGCTTAGGTAACCTCACACTATCTCATTTCTCATGATTCTCGAGGGGTACCTGGCAACCATGGGCCTAAAGAGTGCTGCATCTGAATGATTTTTGTACTGTTTCACCCGATTAAATCGAAGTGCGCATACCAATAGATTTCTACCCCTGTATTCCAACGTTTTCAGCTTGTTGTGACTAACTTTCGTTTCAGAGGTCACTTTTCACTCCTTTTCTCATCGTTGTTTGGCCAAAATGTCAGCTGACAACAATGCTTCTGTTGAAGCTGCTGAAACTGACAATCAGACGTTGCGACCCGTGATAGCGGATGATGAACCAACAAAACTTATGTACGGCCTACGTAAGCCGATGATACAGTGAGTGCCTTTGCCAGATCCATTTCTTACTGAATTTTATTAACCTGCGCATGCTCTAAAATCACATCAGATCGGACGATGAATTGGAAGCCAGCTAGCTGAACGCCTGATGATCTGTCTGACTGGTATTTGTCGTATGACCTTAGCATTCTGCTTATCAGAAGCGCTCTTAACAGCGCCATTTCAGAATCTTCACGATATCTTCGCTGTTACTCAGACTTATCGACCGTGGTGACCATTTTACTTATCTTTATTATTCAACGAACTTCGTACATTAGTACAGGGAAGAAAGATAACCAGAGCTTTGGGAGTGGAAAATCCTCTAGCTCTTAATTAACCAGCGGTCACTTGCAAATAGAATAACGAATATTTTTAAATTGGGCCATGTCAGTGCACCGGCATGCAGCTCCTTTGGACTTACTCTGAGGTGACTCATCTCAGGGATCTCGTGGCACTGTTCACTTCTTGAGGTGGTTGGCGTGAGCCCCTCTTTTATACAAGGATAACATTACTCAACTAATAATCTTCTCAGGTTTTCGTCATGCCACCTGTACTTATTTGATTCTGAGTGTGGTGCTCAACACTGGGGACTATGAACGAAGTTTTTCGCTACACCACGCTAGCAGGGAAGAGTGGAATGGAACAGGACCATAATCATGCTTGACTTTGTCAATCACTTTGGAATAAGCTGCCTTTCCTTTATGACGGGATTTGTTATCCGTTTGTGCTACCGCTCACCACATTCAGTTATTCGTTTTCCCAGGTATTCCACTTCAGTTACTTCAGTCCTGAACAAGGCCCCTTAAACTGCGTTAAATCTACTGTAGGCTGTGTTCAACTTCGTGTTCTTTATACCATCTGTATCCCAAACTTAATTTCATGCTTTGGATTCTTTTGACATAGTAATGTGATTGCCACAGTCAACTTGGGTTGCCATATCGAACTGCGCAAGGTAGTACTTCATATCCGCAGTGCAGAGTATAACCCGAAGCGATTTCCAGGGGCAGTCATGCGTCTTAGGGAGCCTCGTGTGACTTGTCTCATCTTCGGCACAGGGAAGATGGTGTGCACAGGTGCTCGCTCGGAAGCGGAATGTCATTTGGGAGCTCGTAAATGCGCTCGGATTCTGCAAAAAATTGGATTTCCGGTAAGCGTTTTTGTTTTAGACCATAAAATATGTTTTGAACGTCCCAAAGCCAGAATAGGGTCACTCAAGGTTTATAACTGTCATACAACTCGAAGAAAGTACGAGGGCTGAAGTACTGTCACGTTATCCAAACACTTATAGGTGCAATACAAACGTAAAATAAAATGTAAGGTATGGAGATCAATGCGAACACTTTGTAGAAGCCACCTTCTTCTGCCACCCGCGCAGTGATATTTACTAGTGCGACTACGGTGAGTGCTGCAATCCAGTCACATGCCTTGCCCGTTGACTGTTAAGTTGATTCATGCTTGCTCCTCTGGAGCCCGAGTACCCCGCCCGCGGACTTACATAACCAATCAGGCTTCGTCGTGTACTTACTTACGCTAATCCGCCTAGGTGACCGTTCCCGATGACGAACATTAATCTTGTGAATAACTGCGGGGTATGAAGAATTTTCATTCACCCAATTTCCGCTCCAACAGTCACCTCACGTCGGTGTTTTGTTGACCCGACACCTCCAAAGACAACTTGTTGATTGACTGTCAGTCGATTATTCAGCCTATCGGGACTATCCCTACTACCGTCAGTTTTCGGGCCTTCAACCAATTACGGCAGATTTCGCAGTGTGTGCCTATCCTCCGACTACTGCAACCAACATAACTAATCGTTCCGCTATAGCACCCTTTCACATCACATTTGGATGGATGTGTCACATACAGGATGCGGACCAAACGAAGGCATGCCCTGATTGATCAAAATGCCAGCCAATCTGGATCGAGCCTCTTTGATTCGATGCTTCTCGCCCCCTCACGGAACATTCTGTGATTACCCTATAAATACGGCAGTAATAACTTTCCTTTGTATCCATAAGGGGCTGTCTGAAGCTACCGTGCCCTTTGGTATACGATAGTGGGTGGAACAGGAAACCACGGGACCCATACGGAGTTGCACGACCGTTTAACAAGTCACAACAGTTGTTCAAGCCTAGACAGGAGCAGTCGAGATGCAGAGGTTGGGTTCGAACCACTGACCTTCGGGTTAGTAAGTTTTCTCTTCAACCACTGAGCTATTTCGAGCTCTCCGATTGCTGCACCATGCTATCAACCCTTATTTGGACTCACTTTCCAGCTTCCTCGAAATTAGTATCTACTTCTGTCGACCATGTGCAATAAAAATTTGCCCGTTCCCCTTTCTGTTCAATTTATGATTGGTTGAAAACACCACATTTCTGTCTCACCACTGAGATCAAAAACACCGGGAACGCATGATGCCTGTGTAAAGAGTTCTACATGTTAACAACCTACTGAAAACTGTGATGGAACGTAAGAGGAAGAGTTACGTCTATTTCATAAGCTTACGCCTATATAATTCCGGGAGCTTTTTTCCAGCAAGACTTTTTGAGATACTTTGTGGTGACGTTCCTTTAGAGAAGGATGGGTCAGTCCCAGGAATATTTCGTATTATCCTTGCTCTTATGACTGATGTGAGCGTGGGGAAATATGGGAATTTCTGAAATACGCTTTTAGCGCATACCATACACACAACCGGTGAATTTTGGGTAACAAGGTCAAGACCATGTAAATGGAGCTGTAATGGACATTATTTTTGCAGAGACCTGAATGCTCCGAAAGACAAGGGTTTCGTTATAGTAAGTACCGATGTAATGGTATACTGTGGACTAAGTGGTTGTTTGGTATTTTTACTGAACTCCTGGAGATTAACGCTAGGTGTGCGATTTGCTGCCGCCGTTGTTCAGTGTCGAAAACAGATACGAGAAGGTGCTAAGTTGTCCAGGAATAAGTTAGATAAACATGAAAGCTAACTCGACCCATGGATAGGTGTTTTCGTAGCATAAAATTGATAGGCATCCCAACAATGCTTTTGATTTACGTGCTTTTATGTGGTATACCTAACTATTTTCTATGCCGTTCTGTGAGGGGAGCTATCTACTTCAGGGCCAGCATTTGTGACCGGATCTCTATGTTGCATTCTGCGAGCGTACTTTGGGCATGCCTGCTTGCTCATTGTTTCTCATTCTTTCCGTTTTAGACAAGATTCTTCGACTTCACTGTCCAAAATATGGTTGGTCTATTCGATCTCCGTTTCCCTATCCGCTTAGAAGGCCTACTTTTGGCAAACGAGCAAATGACACAGTATGTTCGTTTGTACGCACTTGTCAGCTTGGCATTTGTTTTCATTTCCACGCTGTATAATAATCTTTTATTTGAGAAAGTTTTCTGGAACTATCTTTTGCATCTTTACCTCTGGACTCTCGAGAGATCTGGAGGTGTCCCAACCAACTTGAAGGCTGTCAAACTATCAATCTACTGTCTTATCCACATGAAGATGCTATACCTTGGTGGATCGTTTCGACAAACAGTGTATCTTACGTTTGCAGTGAGGACTGCCGGTCGTACCAGTGGTACTTTATGTTGAGGCCAGTAGCAACTTAATCTCCAACACCAAACACTACTGTGAATTACGTTGTGGTGCACCAAGATTGCTGACGTTACTAAATGGTCCACCTCTAATCGACAGATTGGTCTTGTACACCATTTGCTATTTTATGCTGTTTTACCCTCTTCGATCGAGAAACTATCTAATAATTTCGTTCAATTTGGCCATGGTAAGAAGCCTTCAACTAACTTACATGTTGTCATATACCTTTTTGTACCACAGATACGAACCAGAACTGTTCCCCGGGTTGATATATCGAATAATCAAACCACGACTAGTCATGTTGATCTTTGTCAACGGCAAAATCGTCATGACCGGTGAGTTCTCTTACTCGTCGATGGTTCAGTCACTTGTTTTCGTATGTGTGGCAGTTTTTTTTGAGTTACCTGTTTTAAGGCTGTGCTACTGGAGTATATTTTGGCTGCTTTTTCCAATATTGGCACAGTTTTGGACCTCAGTGGTTCAGTTGCTGTGTCGTTTTCTAGTCAACTATGTTAACTGGCTGCTCAGATCATAACTGGTATTTTGAGGTGTCTCTAGACGAGGCGTGCTGGGTTAGCTACACAGAGCCTTAGTGTGAAATGTCCATGTCTTAATTCAATAAGTGCGCACTTTGGATGAGTCCATCGAAGACTATCCGCCTTTCTCCATGGGTCGACTTAGCTTCTTACCATAGGTTGTTCACTAAAATCTGTTCTAGTCAAAAGCTTCAGATCTGAAACCCTAGACTCCTGTTTCCAAACCAAATAAGTTTGCAAATAAGTGTATTTCGCTGTGTGGGTTTTATTTCGTTCTCCGAAGCATAAGGATTTTCAGTGCCCGGAGTGGGGAACTTGAGTCCCTAGTTAATTATATATCTCTTACAAGTGTGTATGGTGTGGTTTTCCTATGAGAAACAAGGCTACCACGCGCGTTCTCGGCAGTGTCCGACAAATTATGCCCGGTGCAGACTTGCCGTGTATGCATTACGTTGTAGCCTTGGATACTTCGGTCAGGAGTCCATGAACGTCCCTTTTTGAACGTCTATGCGTTCCCGCAACCACAGGGGCTAGAAGGCATGATAATACCATGTCAGTAAACGCCGGAAGGTCTGTCCGTTGAAATTTATTTTTCACGAACATGGTGCTTCAATCTTGTTCACCTCCAATGTTGACTGTCGAGTCACAAAACTGTAGCACGAGCTCTTGTCTCTTAATATTTTTGTTCTTGGTGTAGCATTCAACCAACACTGTTGTAGCTGCTGTCGTTGAGGATGCCTTCAAGTCTCATCCACACAACAACAACCACTCCGCAAGGTCCATCTTTCAGCTCCCCAAAGCTTACCGATTTAGACACGAGAAAATTTCCCATCAAGAGCATTCCCTGACGAAGACCGCCCAAACATGCACTAGCCACTATAAAATCCAAACAAACAAAACAGTACAAGGAACGTGCTCACTTCGCTTTACAGATAAGTTTCCCTGGGATAAAGACTTCCCCAAAGGTCGTTTTCATAATTGGTATGTGTTGCGTCTTGCTGAATGGTCCCTTAGCTTCCTGCTCCGCCCACTATGGTATATCAAGATGCACGGTAGCTCTAGGCAGCCCTTTAGGGAGACAAAGGACAGTTAATTCAACTGTATTTGTAGGGTTATCACAGAATGTTCCACAAGGTCGTGCCAGAATCTCGGCGAGGGGGCTATAAGCGTCGAGTCAAATATGCTCGAAACGGATTGGTCGGCATTCTGACCAATCAGAGCATGCCTTCGTTTGGTCCGTATCTTGCACGTGACACATCCATTCAAATGATGTGATGTTCGGTTATTAGGAACGGTTGGCTCCGGACACTATGACTTTATTTAATTAAGACTCTATTCCTATAACTTACCATGACTCGTATTCTCACTGTAGCAAATTTTGTATGCTTAATATGGGTCTAGCATCGACAGCTCTGGCTTGACTACCACAAGTTAGGTCGTCATCATCAGCTGTAAGGATCGCCTACTTGTCGTGCAGTGGTTGTTGATTCCACAGTTTCATTCACAGATGATTTGGGGAGGTGGGGTACATAGCTGCGCATTGGTGGCGGTGGCTGATATAATTGGCGTGTAAACATGGGTGTCAGTGGACCTTTCATTGGGGAAACATTTGGAGGGGATCTATGCACTGGAGGCTTGAATTCATGAGCACCATTGAGGGTGCAACTAGGCCACGTCTGATCATGTCTCTAACCATTGATGTGTCTCGTCAAGGGAGATGTTAATGACCAGCGCGTCTGAGTTTGCTTGCTTTCATACTTCGATGCCAAGTCATTGTTTGACCTCCCCTAGCTCTCTTCCACTCTTCACGTGGTTGTGTGAAAAGAGCCCCTCGAGGAATTCGGTCGAGTGGCGTATGGAGCACGTAGTCAAGCCTACGCAACCTATGGAGTGTGATCAGTTCATCTATCTTGAGCGAGCTGTTTCTACCGAAAATCTGTTGACATACTTCAGCATTACTGACCCAGTGTTGTCACTGGACTCGGTCAATGATTCGAAGGCATCGATGGTCAAACACTGAAAGTCTTGACGTTTTCGGTGCGCAGCGGCCAGGCCTCTGACCCGTATAATAATATGGAACGCACGGCAGCATTGTAGACTCGACCATTGACGGATAAGCTGATGTCTCACCTACGCCACAGGTGACGGAGGTTCACAAAACCTGGTCTGGCCTTTTCAATGCAGATGGAAATGTTGTCTTTCGCGAGACTACTGGCACTGATGCTGCTGTCCAGGCAGGTAAATTTGTCTGCTACCCCAATCGGCTCATCCGTAAGCATGAGATTAGGGTTGGAATCTACTCAGTCTTGCAGCAGCTTTTTACACCTTGTGGGTGTGAGAAGCCTGGAACAGTTAGATAGATTGTTTAATGTTGTGGGCATTACAATGGCGTCAGATCGAAGAAGTGATATGTCATCTAGGTTCTGTGAGCGCACTCGCCGGGAGTACTTCTAACCTACTGGCCCTTTAATAGTTTGTCTTATGGTAAACCCTAAGGTTAATGCATCCTCCGCCAGGACGTAAACCACGACATTTTCATTCCCGTGATAGATAATAGATCGAAACTGTCCACTGTCTGCTCTCTCCGATACTTCGGAAACGTGGACATATTGACTAAAAAATGAGCCATCTCAGATCGGCATTGCAATGTGACCGTGTATCAAGTGACGCCGACTCACACTCGAGTAATCTAGTACTGAATACATAAGGTGCAAAAGTCTTTTTCCATGTAAGGTCGTTTTACAGTTAAAGTGCTGCTGTTTTATAATCTCATCCATGTGGACTCTTTCAGTGTGAGGCTTTCTGTTCGAATTCATCTTGTACAATTGAATCAGCAGTTTCGTGACCCACTTAGTCATATTTAAATTCAACATTGATTACGACGCTTTGGGATGCAGATCAGCCTACCCCTATAAGTGAGTAATTAGTAAATAGTGGTATAAATAACTCCTTTTTGAATGAAACGGACGGAAGGTACAAACTTTGGTATGCAACAATTCCATTTACATCCCCGTTTTCAAGCTCGTTTCCATGGATTTCGCGAAAATGTGCAGAAGTTTTGGTGATCAGCTCATGGGTGTCGACTTTAAATTCTGTTTCTCATCTCCAACTGCTGTATTTCCGTATTTTATCAGTCCGAAACATAGACGATGGATCAATTAATTAAAACCATTCGATGTGACCTCAGAGTTCGTGCTGGAAAATTACATGACTGTAATGACAATAAAGGGCGCGAGATAGATCAGTGGTTAAGGTGCGAATTTACTGATCGAAACGCCTGTGGTTCGAACCCAACCTTTGCACCTCAACTACTCCTGTCTAGGTTTCGANACCAGCGCAGCTGAGTTTGCTGGTATTCGTTATCATACTTCGCTGCCAAGTCATTGTTTGACCACCTCTGGTTCTCTCTCACCCTTCACGTGTTTGTGCGAAAAGAGCCTTTCGAGGAAGTCGGTCGACTGGCATACTAACCACGTAGTCAAGCCTACGCAACCTATGGAGTGTGATCAGTTCATCTATCTTGAGCGAGCTGTTTCTACCGAAAATCTGTTACATACTTCACTATGGAGTGTGATCAGTTCATCTATCTTGAGCGAGCTGTTTCTACCGAAAATCTGTTGACATACTTCAGCATTACTGACCCAGTGTTGTCACTGGACTCGGTCAATGATTCGAAGGCATCGATGGTCAAACACTGAAAGTCTTGACGTTTTCGGTGCGCAGCGGCCAGGCCTCTGACCCGTATAATAATATGGAACGCACGGCAGCATTGTAGACTCGACCATTGACGGATAAGCTGATGTCTCACCTACGCCACAGGTGACGGAGGTTCACAAAAGCTGGTCTGGCCTTTTCAATGCAGATGGAAATGTTGTCTTTCGCGAGACTACTGGCACTGATGCTGCTGTCCAGGCAGATAAATTTGTCTGCTACCCCAATCGGCTTATCCGCAAGCATGAGATTAGGGTTGGAATCTACTCAGTCTTGCAGCAGCTTTTTACACCTTGTGGGTGTGAGAAGCCTGGAACAGTTAGATAGATTGTTTAATGTTGTGGGCATTACAATGGCGTCAGATCGAAGAAGTGATATGTCATCTAGGTTCTGTGAGCGCACTCGCCGGGAGTACTTCTAACCTACTGGCCCTTTAATAGTTTGTCTTATGGTAAACCCTAAGGTTAATGCATCCTCCGCCAGGACGTAAACCACGACATTTTCATTCCCGTGATAGATAATAGATCGAAACTGTCCACTGTCTGCTCTCTCCGATACTTCGGAAACGTGGACATATTGACTAAAAAATGAGCCATCTCAGATCGGCATTGCAATGTGACCGTGTATCAAGTGACGCCGACTCACACTCGAGTAATCTAGTACTGAATACATAAGGTGCAAAAGTCTTTTTCCATGTAAGGTCGTTTTACAGTTAAAGTGCTGCTGTTTTATAATCTCATCCATGTGGACTCTTTCAGTGTGAGGCTTTCTGTTCGAATTCATCTTGTACAATTGAATCAGCAGTTTCGTGACCCACTTAGTCATATTTAAATTCAACATTGATTACGACGCTTTGGGATGCAGATCAGCCTACCCCTATAAGTGAGTAATTAGTAAATAGTGGTATAAATAACTCCTTTTTGAATGAAACGGACGGAAGGTACAAACTTTGGTATGCAACAATTCCATTTACATCCCCGTTTTCAAGCTCGTTTCCATGGATTTCGCGAAAATGTGCAGAAGTTTTGGTGATCAGCTCATGGGTGTCGACTTTAAATTCTGTTTCTCATCTCCAACTGCTGTATTTCCGTATTTTATCAGTCCGAAACATAGACGATGGATCAATTAATTAAAACCATTCGATGTGACCTCAGAGTTCGTGCTGGAAAATTACATGACTGTAATGACAATAAAGGGCGCGAGATAGATCAGTGGTTAAGGTGCGAATTTACTGATCGAAACGCCTGTGGTTCGAACCCAACCTTTGCACCTCAACTACTCCTGTCTAGGTTTCGACAGCGCGGCAGTATCTCAGCCCTCGTGCTTCCTCCGAGTGACCTGGCATCTATCCACCGATTACTATTCTATTTTTAATGACAAAGCAGAATCTGAGACAGAAATATTAGAGTTTCTTCTGTCAGATAAAAAATAACTTGAGGTACAAAGAAAGGTAACAAAGCTTGGATGTTTTCTAAGACTATGGTATTTTCATGGCAGCCAAGTATGGTGGACGACCCTTATCTTTGATTTCGTGGTTGGGCCCGATTTTGATAACTTTTATAGCATAGTCAGAGCAGTTGTTTCCGCAACATTCTAGTGCTCTTCACCCTTTTGTACGTCACTGTTTCGGTCACAATGCTTCCCTCCTTATTAGTCTAAAGTTTCTTGTTTCTTTTTGTAGGTGCAAAATCCAGGGAACAAATGTACGAAGCCCTAAACAATGTCTATCCTATCTTGCATAATTACCGGAAGACTAACTGATTATTTCATACTACTTTCTTGCCATTCACTTTCATTCTGACTTATCGTTTTGCCGCCTGCAACAGACGACAATCGTGTATAGTGCTTAACTGGTCAGTTGTAAATTCCCTAACTCAGCTATTGGTGGTATGGTGAAGCATTTTGTTGTATATTATTCTGCGAATGAAGTTAGTCTATTCCTTTTTGACTGTTAAGAAAGGGGAACATTCTATAGATCACGTGGACCTTCCGAGTATTCGTCACTGGAAGACATCAGATCATTTGACCTGAAGTGTCTGATTGAAGGGTGGGTGATGCTATGCCTTGTTGTGGTACAAACCAATTCTACTGCTGATCAGCTGCCAGTAACTAACTAATGGAGTATTCAACTCCTACTCAGAAGGTTTAGACTTCTTAACAGTTCGTCAGATATTTATTTTCAACCTTCCCTGGTGAGGATGGAACAACTCTTCCCGGCTTTTCGGAATCAATTGGCTGCAACTGCACAAAGCATGTTCATGATAAATCCCTTTGCCTGGATCTGAAGCTGGTGCAAAGTTCTACCATTCACAAGTATGTTGATAATGTGAGGACATTTAGAAATTTTACCCCCGATCCCATCTCGCAAGCGGATTCATCAAACTCTTAGTAGCTCAGAAGCAGAAGTATTCCACAAGTCTGAGAAGTTTTCACTCGAATAGCGAGTGAACACGTGCCCATGGGATGTGAATTCAGTTATTGAAGGACGAGTGACGCGATTTCCTGTCTGAGTGCGAGTTAATCACACTGCTGATCAGCTAAGTGTTCGACTATTATCCAGGAGGTCCCGGGTTTAAAACTTTATTGAGCTTCATGTGGTTCGTACTGTTGCTAATTCCCAGTAAGGATGAAAAGGATGTTCAGTGCTTCTGTGCTTTTCAGTATAGAAGCAAGGTCCACTGACGCACAGACAAGAGCAATGAAAGCCGGAAATTTTCACTTAAGAGGCTTATTTCTAGCTATTCGCTGTGGAGGTCGATTTATTGCAATGTGACAACGAATCCGCGGCCTGATCGCAAAGCTGCGTACACCTGAAATGGGCTGTGAGCTGTAAAGAGGATTATGATCAGTCTGAACCTGATAATTCTTGTATGAGTTTGAACTGCTCCCAGTAGACTACTTACGTAAACAGTTGTATCGATATGGTTGCCTGAGACCCGTTAGAAAAATAAACGTAGCTGGGACTAACTGGCATCGAATGACATGCCTTACAAATCATAGTTCGGACTATCTTTAGGGGCTTCCAACACCCTTTGAGATGCTGAGGTACATGATGTTCGGAGCGTGCAAAGGTTGCTTTTTAGGGTTTCCCGCAGTCTTGCTGAATTCTCATAAATGTTATGCTACTAGAAACTCTGAGTAGCTAGATAGGATGCTAGTTTCGTTGCTGTGCAGTCCATAGATGTTAGTGATCTCGGGTAACGATATATCTAATGGAAAAAAGGAGACGGCAACAGACGAAAGTATGGCAAAGTGACTATTAACTAATTCCACTTTGACGTAGGACTGCTGCATTTAACGATGATATGGACAACTCATGTCAAAATTGTCGTTTTTGCCTCGGCTTGCTATTTGCTAGGCCCGAAAGTTGTGCGACCCGCGAAATTTCGTTTCACCGAACTGGGCAATATCATATAATTCTTAATTTCCAGCCATCAGTACCTATGGCCGGTGTATTACCACTCCCTTGAAGAGCTGACCTGGTGTGAACAACGCGATCCAGTTTCCCTTTTGAACAGTTCGGCACTTTGCTTGCTTTTCGTAGTCAGCCTCTTTTAAGAACTGTTCTGTACCACGCCTGGTTATTTTTTCTTTTGGAGCGTGGATCTTGTTGTCAGGTCGAGGTTTATTCACCCACTACCGTAGTCCATACAACCGCCACTCACCTCCGCGTCGGTGCTCACCAGGTACCAAAAGAAGATAAATACCAAGCAAGCTGTGGGACCTGAAGTGCAGTCTACTACTGTCGGTGGGTTTCTAAAGCTTCAGTTCTTCATCAACTTCGTTCACGTGATACAGTGCCTTTGTGTCGGCATCTGTCACAACGGTATCTTCGCGTACCGGTAGTTTCCGGCTTTCTCAAGAAAGGCCTGCTGTACAGGGTCTTCTATTTTCTACCCGGCGCTCCATCGTTCATGTTGTTTTCAACTGGTGAGACAAGTTTGCATCGTTAGCTGTTGATCAGTTGATAGGTGGTCCGCTCGCCAGCTAACTGCCAGATGGATGTAACAGAAACCAGTAAACTGTCTCGAGTTCTAATGTTTAGACTTTTTTAAGAGTGCATAATTGTTTGTTTTGGTGAACCTCTGATGCTTTGTCTCATAATCCAAAATAAATTAAACGTGGGTTCTCCTGGCGTTTGTGCATGTGACTGCAGCGATTAATCATAGAAGCAAAGTTGGGCATATGCATTAAAATTACTTAGATGTGCTATCGGTCACCAGTTACTAGTAGCACCTCGAGTATTTCTCACTAATGATGACCGCTTCAATTCGGCAGCTGTATCTTCAGCAACCTCTTCAACTAAATACATCTACATACATATAATGCAATTCATCGGTGAATCAGAGCTTTCAGCAGGCCAGGGTTCTGTTGCCCCCATTGTTACCAACTCGTTTGTGCAGCTATAAGAATCAGCCGCTTGTGCATGGAGCCGTGTCCCCCCACCCCACACCGTAGTTTGTGTTGGCCGACCGACAAACTTTAGTATGAAGCCTATTTGCCCGGAGACCCTTAAAGGACACCATTGATCATGCAACAATAACAGGGCAAGTTTGAAGTGTGCTCATTGAAAACGATTGAACTGAAATCGATTTCCAGGAAGGCAGAGAATGTGTGACTCTGTTCTGAATTGTCTAACTCTATCCGACAAATCCGGGCTTGAAAAGCCCACAAAATTGCGCAGTAGATTGAACGGCTGGCTGGTAATTCGAACTGTTAATCACTAAAATCACAGCAGGATATTCTAACAAGCCGGAACGAAGTTCGCTGCACATACCTGGATTCACCTCCATGAACATATGTAGCATCATCAAGTGACATAAAATTTTGAGTACATATTTGCTTGTATCGGCGTGCAACTGCACACAATATTACATTTTGTGAGACTTTCGTGAAAATTTGAATGTACGCGCGTATGGATGTGCGCATATTCAGCTACTGGAGCCAAATTAGCAAAGAAGCACCTCAATATCCCACGCATAATTCGCTGTGCTCTATTAGTGTGATGATGACCATAATACAAATCAGAAGGTGTATGTGCACTAATAGAAGTTTTTAGTATGGTTGCGACAAGTATAAAAATAAATACAATGCGAAAATGGGAGCAAGTCAAAAGAGAACTATTGTATATGGGAGTCCCTTGGTGAAAGTCCGGACGGTGGGAACGTGTTTTCTCCGCAGCTTGGCTGCTACACGTGTTCCATGACTGTCCGTGGTCTTGGAGTGTTTGGCTGACTCCTTGCTCCCTGCGCGCGCGCGAGTCTGTGTGCTGACTGTTTTCGGTTACCCTATATGTAGGTCCGTTCGCACGTACGTGGGCGCGTCAGCACGTTAGTGGTTGGTACGCTCACTAGACGGTGCAGGCAATCGACGTCTGATGAGTCACCTTAATGTGACGTGGTTGTGGGCATGAAAAAGAGACAAGTCTCGTGATCCAGTGAGCGATTGTGGTCTGAGCAGTCAGGTGTGTTGTTGACTGGGTCGCTACAGCTCACAGTGGACGTGGTTTTGGAACTCATCGGCAAGATTGGTGGCGCCGTAATTCTCCCTGCAAGCTTTCTTTAGCAAAAGGACGGCTCCAGTACAAGGACAAATTGCAATTTATCAAAGTGAATGGCTAGAAACTCCCTCAGGTAGACTACTTTCAAGCAAAGCGCGCCAAAGCGTGAATTAATCTTCTGTCTACTAGCAAACTGAGCACGTTTATCGCCCAAAGATGCTGCGGCAAACTTGGATCGCTTTACTGATGTTTCAAGTTCATAGCAATTTCCCCCTATATTTGCAATTTTGCGCCATCTATGGACTACTCTGTTAGAGCCTGACTTCCATGTTCGTGAGAGGAATATCCTTCCATCTTGAATCAACAGGTGAGCCACTTCCTTTTTGAATCCTCATCGCGAGACAGCTTTTTTAGGCTTGTCTGTCTCTAGACGTTGAGGATAATGTTGAGCATGGGAGATCTCACGTTCGCCCTTCTTGGTGATTCACATACAAATACCGAGTTACTCCATCGTTGTTTTGACTGTCACCAAAATATTTGTCAGTGCAATCAGCGAACTTATTCGATTAAGTTTGGGGAGACATAGTTTTTGCTACCGTGAAACAGAAAGTGATGGAGTAAAAAAATAGACACTGTGAACCGGTGTTCGCTCGGATTGTCACTGCCTTTGGCACCAGAAAATCGTAAGTGATATTGGAAACCCACTGTACTAAAGCTTGATTTCTGTAAACGGTTCACACACGAGAATAGGAATGTGGCTATCCGTGTATAAAAAATACACAGAACGGTTAAGCATCTTTATTACTTGATACTACCTATTTTAGCATTAGTTGTCTCTCTAAATGGGATCACTGGTCGCTTACCAGCTCACATAATTCGGACAACGAACTCCGATCCCTTTACTCTGCATTTCGGCTTACTCTTAAAGAGGAAAACCGTACACCCTTTTATCCCAGTGGTGTAACCTTTATCCCTCTGGGTTCGTCGCTAAAGCCGTTAGTTTACTACAAAACCGTGAGCTACGCTCAAAAATGGATTCAGCCTTCAGGCTGTGATAATCACTTAAAATTAGCATCTTCTGGTTATGTACTGCGTCTGCTCCAACTTTGCTTCATAAATTAACATATAGCCAACGTTGAAGTTGAAGTTCTTATGTCTGGAACATATTAGTAATCCAGCAAGATGCTAGTGATTGGGGATATTCAAATGGGTGTTATTTGTGTGTTTGCCGTAACGTACGATTTCATATGCATACATCCAGAGGGGGAGAGTCGCTGCAGTGAAATTATTCTGATGAATAGGATACCTCCGGGATGTCTAATTCGAAGTCATTCCACGTTAAAGACTCCGTCTCTAGCCCATTTCAAAAGATAGCACACTACTGATTCAGAACAT